AGGAGTTGATACAATACAAATAATGTGACATTCTTATTATAATAACAACTTCTTATTAACTGAGCGCAAGGGCCACACAAGGGGATTATTGGCCTGAGGTCATAACAGTGCAGGCCAAGTGTAGTGAGGTCCATAAGAATACCACAGAGGGCCAACACCAGTATTTCTTAGTAAAGCTTACACAAGCAAGGTTAGTAGGTGGCTGAATACATAGAACATGGACTAAACTTGTTTATTTTCAAATTACCAGCTTTTGAGGACAAAAAACAAACTGCTTAAGACCATTTCAGTGGAATGGGTGCCAAAATTGTCTTCAGATGCCCCACCCAGGTCCTGGATTTGATGGTCAATCTTTTAAGTCTTTTTTTTTTATTAAAAAAAAACGCTTTGTTAGCATATCAAGTGGTATGTTGCTCACACCAATCGGATAGCCGCATTAGAGTTTGTATCTCACACCAATCAGAGAGCCACATCAGGGTTTGTATTTTGCACCAATCAGATCACAGCACAGCAGCATGTTTGCACCAATCAGAGAGTCAGGGTGTTGTTCCTCACGTCGTGTCAAGGAATTAGGGTGTTGCAAAGTGTTGCAATGGAACCAGCCCAACATTGATTCACACTAGAACATCAACAAAAAATCATGAGGTCATCTATCCTATGAACTTATTCATTTCCTTCATGTGGACCTACTCACTATAATCTGCCAGGATTACAAAAGTTGTCAGGGAATTTTTCTACCATTTAAAAGTAACATTGCATTCTGAGTACCACTTCTTCACTCACAACGCTTGTGTAGCATGCCTATGTTTTTGTAAAAGGCAAAACCAGTGACCATGACTTTCTACTCAGTGACTCCCTGGACACACCTCATTGAAATGCAAATATTCTCAAATTAATGGATTATGTTTCTAAATGCAGCTCTGATCAGGTGTCTGAAAATTATGTTGTCAAGGTTATTGGTCAACAAAAATATATAGAATAAGACCATATATGATCATAGTTCTCATATTCCTTTGAAAGGTTGGCAAAGAAAAGAGAGTTTTCAGAAGAATCCTCCCTGAGAAGCTGGATGTATGCCTCAGTGAGTTCATTATACCACTAGAACAA